CTTGTACTGTCTTTTTTTCGCGTTGCGTTGCATCGCGCCGCGTAAACATAAAACCATGTCTGCATTTGTGATCGGAATGACAAACAACAAGCGCTACTCTACACTGCTCAAAACTCGCGTTTCAGTCATCAGTGGCAAGTCCTTTAAATGAAAATGTACTTACAGGTGCATCTCAATAAATTAGAATGTCGTGGAAAAGAATGAGCCGTTTTAGGTAGGCGTGGTTGACTCTTAACTTTTATAAAGAATATCTCTTTGGATTTGAGACTTTAGTCTTTGCAACTTTACAGATCTTCTTTATGCACCAAGAGCTTGTAACACTTCAAAGAGAAAGGAACAATTTAAATCGCATCATATGGCCCCTTTAAGTCTCGTGTGTGTTGGGAATTTTACAGCATGGCCCATAAACATCTCAGCGGTCCATATCTGGTTCCCCTTTCCTCCTTTCCTGAGCTGTTTTTGAAACATTTGAACATTTATGCTGATGGGAGCATTTTTCCCTCCATAAAAAATGCCTGATAATAAGATTTTAGTAGCAGATGAACAGACACAGATTGTTTGTATAATAATGACAAACAGAATTTGCAAGAAATTTTGGGCCCTTCAAAATAAGCCTTAATCCTTTTGATTCTGTCTCTGTGGTTTTCTTTTGGTTCGTCTGAAGGTTAACCTCAGCCAGTCTGTGTATACTCTATGACACATGGCGATCATCCACACATTTTGTCTTAGTGGGATCCGATCGTTGAAATATAATTGCCTGCCGCACACTTTTTGGCTCAGTTTTGGAGTCCACAGTTTGTTGAACAAAACTTCACTGGTGCATTTAAACCTATTTTTATCAATTCATAGTCCAGCAGTAGTGTAAACAGTAATTAGTAAGGGAGGATATAGTTTTGAAAAAAGCTGATAACTTTAACAACAACAATTCCAAATGGGGAACATTAGTTTGTGCGCTTGGGTGTGTGGTTCAATATGCTATTACGTGTTTACAATACTGTAATAACACAGTTATAGGTAATATGTAAGGCTCTCGTTTGGGCGTGTGGTTCAATATGCTGTTACGTGTTTTCAATACTGTAATAACACAGTTATAGGTAATATGTAAGGCTCTCGTTTGGGCGTGTGGTTCAATATGCTGTTACGTGTTTTCAATACTGTAATAACACAGTTATAGGTAATATGTAAGGCTCTCGTTTGGGCGTGTGGTTCAATATGCTGTTACGTGTTTACAATACCGTAATAACACAGTTATAGGTGTAAGTCTCTGGTATGGGTGTGTGGTTCAATATGCTATTACGTGTTTACAATACTGTAATAACACAGTTATAGGTGTAAGTCTCTGGTATGGGTGTGTGGATCAATATGCTATTATGTGTTTACATTACTGTATTAACACAGTAATAGTTAATATGTTAGGCTCTGCTATGGGTGTGTGGTTCAATATGCTATTATGTGTTTACATTACTGTATTAACACAGTAATAGTTAATATGTTAGGCTCTGCTATGGGTGTGTGGTTCAATATGCTAATACACATTTACAATACTGTAATAACACAGTAATAGGTCATATGTAAGGCTCTGCTATGGGTGTGTGGTTCAATATGCTATTATGCATTTACAATACTGTAATAACACAGTTATAGGTAATATGTAAGGCTCTCGTTTGGGCGTGTGGTTCAATATGCTATTACGTGCTTACAATACTGTAATAAAACAGTTATAGGTGTAAGTTTCTGGTATGGGTGTGTGGTTCAATATGCTATTACGTGTTTACAATACTGTAATAACACAGTTATAGGTGTAAGTTTCTGGTATGGGTGTGTGGTTCAATATGCTATTACGTGTTTACATTACTGTAATAACACAGTAATAGGTAATATGTAAGGCTCTGCTATGGGTGTGTGGTTCAATATGCTATTACACATTTACAATACTGTAATAACACAGTAATAGGTAATATGTAAGGCTCTGCTATGGGTGTGTGGTTCAATATGCTATTACACATTTACAATACTGTAATAACACAGTAATAGGTCATATATAAGGCTCTGCTATGGGTGTGTGGTTCAATATGCTATTACGTGTTTACAATACTGTAATAACACAGTTATAGGTAATATGTAAGGCTCTCGTTTGGGCGTGTGGTTCAATATGCTATTACGTGCTTACAATACTGTAATAAAACAGTTATAGGTGTAAGTTTCTGGTATGGGTGTGTGGTTCAATATGCTATTACGTGTTTACATTACTGTAATAACACAGTAATAGGTAATATGTAAGGCTCTGCTATGGGTGTGTGGTTCAGTATGCTAGTACACATTTACAATGCTGTAATAACACAGTAATAGTTAATATGTAAGGCTCTGCTATGGGTGTGCGGTTCAATATGCTATTACGCATTTACAATACTGTAATAACACAGTAATAGGTAATATGTAAAGCTCTGCTATGGTTGTGCTGTTCAATATGCTATTACGCATTTACAATACTGTAATAACACAGTAATAGGTAATATGTAAAGCTCTGCTATGGTTGTGCTGTTCAATATGCTATTACGCATTTACAATACTGTAATAACACAGTAATAGGTAATATGTAAAGCTCTGCTATGGTTGTGCTGTTCAATATGCTATTACGCATTTACAATACTGTAATAACACAGTAATAGGTAATATGTAAAGCTCTGCTATGGTTGTGCTGTTCAATATGCTATTACGCATTTACAATACTGTAATAACACAGTAATAGGTAATATGTAAAGCTCTGCTATGGTTGTGCTGTTCAATATGCTATTACGCATTTACAATACTGTAATAACACAGTAATAGGTAATATGTAAAGCTCTGCTATGGGTGTGTAGTTCAATATGCTATTACGTGTTTACAATACTGTAATAACACAGTAACAGGTAATATGTAAGGCTCTGCTATGTGGTTTTCATTTCCTCAGCCGTGCATTTATGAAGTGTTGACACAGCTGTAAGTATAAGTCAAATACTGGTTTCATTGGGGAAATGCTTACAGTATGTGTACATTGTGAAACCATCCTACAACTGCTTACTGAAGTCAACAAGTTCTGTTGTATTTATACTGTCAGAACCACGAGAAACAAACTAAGAGGCAACTGTATATCTATCATTCTCGATGATCTGTTTCCTGGATGTATTAAATTTCTCCTCTTTGGTTCTCAGACCCCATGCACTCTGTACACATCGCAGCCAAAGCCTCATTCAGGCTCCTATGGTCCAGTCGCACGCAAAGATCCAAGGACTGACCAACTGGGTCATAGTGCCTGATATGTATGCAGCATTAATGACATGACTATGGCCAAGTCTAAACAGATATCTATTAGTATTATAAAGAGAGATGGAGAGACCGAGAAAAAGAGTTTTAGTAGTTATTAAAGACAAATGCCAAATGCTGTTGTTCCTGAGGGATTCTTACATTAGACATTCCTCACATATTGGTCGTATAGTTAAAACCTTTTCAAAGATGCTCTAGTTTTACATTAGTTGTTCATTTTCATCTATGATCTACACCGCTGCTATTAAAAGTGTGCAAAAGTCCACATTTAAAACGGAATGACCTCTTTCACCTGAAATACCTGATAAATGCAATTCTAATTCTAATAAAAATACTCCTAATCTAGTTGTCTAATAAACCTGGCATTGAATATTACAAATATTGTTGGCTCTTTGACAAATTGCTTTCGTTACTCTTTTGTAAGTTGCTTTGGATAAAAGCGTCTGCTAAATGCATAAATGTAGATGTACATAATATATATTTTACTGAAAATAATGAATTCAGATTCAGTTAAAAAAAGATTACATTGTGATTTATATTATTATATTATATTTTATTTATTATATTATTTTTTGTGGATAGATTGTGTGTGTTTACTTTTTTCCTTTATTTTATTTGCTTGTTTATTTATCGATTTTTCTTTTGAGCCTACACACTGAAATAACTTATTAATTATTATTATTATTATTATTATTATTATTATTATTCGCCTCATTAATAATGATTTTCTGTTTATTAATTATTATTATTATTATTATTATTATTATTATTATTATTCGCCTCATTAATAATGATTTTCTGTGGATTTAGATTGTTGGGGTTTATCTTTTTCTTTTCTTTATTTTGATTTTTTTTTGGCCTATGCAATTTATTTATTTATTACTATTATTATATTTGTTTATTTTTTATTATTTATAAGTAACATGTTAGCACCATTGATAGACTTGGAATGAGAAAGAATAGATCACACACACACACACACACACACGGCATGTTGGTATTGTTGATTTACGGTGACTGTCCATAGGCGTAATGGTTTTTATACTGTACAAACTGTATTTTGTATCGCCCTACACCAACCCTACACCTAAACCTACCCCTCATAGTAAACTTTGTGCAGTTTTAGATTTTCAAAAAAAAACACAGTTTAGTATGTTTTTTTAAGCCTTTTGAATTACAGGGACACAGGAAGTGTCCTCATAAACCACCTTCATATTGTAATACCTGTGTCATACCCATGCCATTATACAAATTTGTGTCCTCATAAACCAGCCAAACCAGTGCACACACACACACACACACACACACACACACACACACACACACACACACATATATATAGCTATACATGCACACACATATACATACATAGGTGTATCTGTGCGTGTGTGTGTGTGTGTGTGATCTATTCTAAATTCTCTTGCTCATTATACACAGTACGCAAAATAAACAGTACATTTTACTACTATAATAATGATTTAGACTAGCAAAACCTGGATACTGTCATGTAAAATGTTAGCGTTAACATAAAAAGGTTGATATTGGTGACATTAAATTGGCTGCGCTAGGACCGCGCGGCCCCGGGAGAGGAATGTGCGCACTGAGGCTGGAGCTGAATGTGAGTGTGACAGGATGGCAGAGGAAAAGCGCCAGAGTCCTGGAATTAAGATCTGGACCGTTATTCAGTCAGACTGCGACTGACACCACACGGACCCTGGAGCGCCCCGGAGCCGCAGCGCGTCATGTTTGCTGATGCGCGACCGGAACTTTATGACAAATCACATTGAATTTTGTGAAATACTCCGAGGAAAAGTATGGACAACAGCTGCTTTGAGGGATCGTAATTGCGCTGCGCTCAAAAGCACACGAGTAACAACTTAACTTACCTTTAGAAAAGCGACAAAGTGACATTTCTGCGCGTCGTTTGTTTGCGCTCGTCACATGCGTACAGTTTTTAAGGTGCTACAAAATTCTACTTTCATTTGGGACATGGAGGAAAGAAAATTCATGATGGAAAAAAATATGACATGATGGATGCATTTTACTGCATCAGTGACAGGAGTGCTGTCATGTTTTAACAGAAGTGAGAGTGTTCTAACCTGTCTAACGTGGTGACCTATCTATTCATACTTGGAAAGGAGTAACTAGTCTTCATTACTGTCTTTCTCTTCACTGATACTTTAAGTTATTATCAGCCAGATAAAATTGTGCCCTGATGTCATGGGCTGACCTGGGACCGCGCAGCTGATAGTGTGGGGGACAATGTCGGGACCCTGCGTCCGCATCCCGTTTTGGGTTCGTGTGTTTCTCCTGCTGCTGCTTCACAGAGTCTCTGCGGGCTGTCCGGAGCTCCTTTCCAGCGGCTGCAGCTGCGCAGAGGACCGCGGTAAAGCTCACGCTGCGCCCGGGGCGCGGAGGAAAGTGAGCTGCGTTGGGAAGGAGCTGACTGAAACGCCCGAAATCAGTCTGCTTCCCAACAGAACCGTCTCTCTGTGAGTATTTCATTCATGTTCACTCTTTAGCAACACTTTGTCAGTGTTATAGCCTACACATTTCACGAAAACAATAAATTGGCTACTCAACTACAATGATATTACCAAGTCAATATAATTATATTAAGCTCATGTTTGTGTTACATTTGTGACCTAAATCTTCATGACATGCTTTGTGCAGCAAATTATAACTGGGTTTGTAGTAGTATGTGTGTCGTTGTTTGAGAATATCATCTTATAACTAAACTAAAATTCTCCAAAAAACACGTTTCAAGTAATCGATTTCAGACAACTCTTTGAAGATGCAGGACTTTAGCAAATGAGATTGCATGAATGATTGATAGCGCAGTGCTCTACAATAACATGTATCACTGATATGGCATTGATTAGACAGTGTATGTCTAGCATCTACCATAAAATCAGTAGTTGTGACAGCAACAGTGGGCATAATGATTTAAACTGGCATTACAAGACCGATAAAGACAAAGTTCAGACACTTTTCGGTGACTACAAGATCTTAATGGACAGCAGCTTTGAGCAGCTGTCAAAATGTAACTCTATATGGGGAGTCCAGGGTTAACTGTAACCATTTATCTTCACAACTCATTGATTAATACAAATATATGCACCATCTTTTGGTATAAGAAACATTTGCAGTAAAATTATTATTCTTACAATGAGAAAGACTAGATCATAATATCACATTTTATTCAGGCATTTCGATTATTAACAGTTGTAGCCCTTATTTTTATAATCTAAAAATGAATGATTAACTGTTCTGTCAAATAAGAGCACATCTCAGTGCAATACAGTTGCTGTAATGCATTCATGTTGCACTGATTCTTTTAAATGTCAATAATAATATTTGTTTAAAGCACAACTGATTCTTTGATGAAATAATTACATTTTTCACTTCATTCATACAGTGTGTATTTCATAACTAGTTTTACAGTTGGCCAACCTCACAGCCATAATACAATATTTTATGGTAACTGTGCTGTTACAACTTTTGACTAACATTAATAGATAAAGTATAGGATGAAGGAAAGATATAGGTGGAATTCAAAAGCACTGGAATGTTAGACATAAAAAGAAAAAAATATTAGACATTTAATGTCATGTAAACAATGTAGACACATTGTTTACATACTGTACTACCAGCTCATTGCTCCTTTACCTGTATTTTCCTTCAGCAAAAGATAAGAGATGATGTAAGAATTATGAGCAGGCTGAAGCACCGAAGAGGAGCTTATTGCAGAACTCAACGCTGTCGTATTGTCAAAACCCTCACATTTTACACATACCTTTCATTCAAAAGCAAAGGAGATGTGCTTCATGCACGCATCCCTCCCACCCCATACACACACACCCTCAAGCTTTCAGCTGACTTGACCATGCCAAAGGAGAATAAAAAGAAACACATTTCACCTCCCCGCCCCCCCGTGCACTTTAATGGCCGTCCGTCTCCTTCCTTTCCTAGTACTGTAATATCCCAGTCTGTTCATAATGGACCATATTCGTGTTGTCTGAGCAGGAAGGAAGCTAAACCCACTCTAAAGTGTGGCTTTATCTAGTTATGACCTATTGTGTTATTACTTGTTAGTTTTGATGACTATTATAGTACTGAAGAGCAGGTTTGTGGGTGTTTGGGCGCCCGTACAAAATACTTGTCGGACAAAGTATGCACTTAATCCGGGTGTGAGACAAGAGAGATCAGTCTAGAGCTACATGTATTTGTTTTGGTGAGGAGAGCGCTATTTTTCATCTGTTTCTTGACGCCCGTGCAGCCGTCCAACGTCTCTGATAGTATCTGCCTGAAAATTGGTGCGGAAAAGCAGGAATTAGACACTCGTCGCTTCAGAACTCTTGCCTTCCCATAATGCCCTTCTGCTCCCCTTCCCAGCGGGAGCAGAATTCACCTGCACATGGCTGTTGTAAAAACATAAACATTAAAAGTGCTCGAAACGCCGCGAACAAGCTCAGGAGAGGAGTATGCAGCCAGGGGATTGGTCCCCTCAGAGGAGGAGGCCCAGGGTAGCCAGGACTCCATTTAAAGAGACTAGTGGTTCTGCTTAATAACCGCTCACATCTGCTCAACACATTGCCTCTGCGAAACCAGAGGAAATGGACTGAAAAAAGATAGGAAGGGGCAAAAGTAGGCTGCAAGGCATGTACTGAACCATGGGCTAACTGTATTGTTGCATCCCTGTCAAGAACACCTACTGTTATTAGTACTTTAACTGTTATTTAGTTATTTATTACTGTTAGTGTTAAATTATTGTAGTTGGGTTAGGTGGCTTAGGTTTTATTGTGAACTTGTTATGTAAATTTGTTGTGTTTTGTATTTACTTAAATGTATATATTTCATTATACTTTAAACTTTTAATATAATGTATAATTTAAAGATTTATTTTCCAATAAGAAAGTTATTCTTTAATGTCATCCACCATCGTTTTGTGGCTTTATTTTTATTTTTTTAAGTATCGGTTCAGACACCGGTACCTTTTTAAAAGTATCTATTTGGTACCGGTATCATAATAAACCCAAACGATACCCAACCCAATACTCTGGTATATTTTATATATTGGCAAAGGGACAGCCCAGCTTGGAAAATTATTCGTTTTTCACATATCTCGTAGGTAAACATGTGAAAATGTCTCTTTTACACTCAACTAATTGCGTCGAAGAAAACTCTTGAATATCATTTTTACTTCCTAACCAGTTTCACATGTGCAATTAAATGCTGGATTTCAAAATGTTTGCGCTGGTGAACTTCACAAAAGTTTTGAAATCCAGCATGTAATTGCTCATGTGAAACGCTCATTGTGTCCTGGTGGACTGTTGAAGACCGTCACACACATGGCTCCCGGGCATCCAGTAGAAGCCAACCAATGGGATTTAGACTTCTGATTTTGCAAAAATGCTTTCGGTTTAGTGTGCAATATGCATCAGATGTTTAGGGAACAAAGTGTGAGCGATCCATAGGCGTTATGTCTAAAGCTGAGACTATTTGGCTATTGATTAATACTGTACTGCCTGAAAATATTACATTTATTATATTTTGTGAATCCAAACACACCATGGAATAACAAGCCCCCCTGAATGGTTCACAACAAAACCAGGAATATTCATTCATTTTGATTCCATTTTTTTATGTCAGTTTTGATTTCATGTTGCAGAATCTCAAGAACTTATAGGCTCATGCACATTAAAAATGTGTTTGAAGTTACAAAGAGGGTTTGTTACTAAACCTGAAAAACTACACACATTAGCTATCATACATCATTCTGATATGATGATTTGCTGCTCCTAAAACATTTCCTATTATTATCAATCTTTAAAACAGTTGTGCTTCTTCATATGTTTGTGGAAACTATGATACACTACCATTCAAAGGTGCGTTTTTTATATAAGAAGAAAATAATACTTTAAGCAAGCATGCATTAAACTGATCAAAAGTAACAGTGAATGCATTTATAATGTTATAAATGATTTATATTCCATTTAATGCTGTTCTTTTGAACGTTCTATTCAAAGAATCCTGACAAAAAAAAAATTTTCACAAAAATTTCCACAAAAATATGACAACAAAAACTATTGACAATAACAACCATTATTAATTACTAAGCAACGATAATAATTGATAAGCATATTACAATGAAATCTGAAGGATAATGTGACACTGAAGACTGGAGTAATGGCTGATGAAAATTCAACTTTGCATCACAGGAATAAATGACATTTTACACTATATTACAATAGAAAACAGCTCTTCTAAATTGTAACAATATTTCACAATATTAGCGGTTTTACTGTTTTTTTATCAAATAAATGCAGCCTTTAAAGGGGTCACAAAACACAGCGTCACACACGGCGGGCTAGAGTGAGCGGAGGCCGTAGACAGGAGGCCTAGAGTGAGCGGCGGCCGGCAGCTTAGAGTGAATGGCGCGGCCGGCGGATTCGACGAGGGAGTGTCCGGTGAGCTTGCGGCAACCACATGTGGCGACCCTGGGCTGGACTCCCCTTCGTCCACGGTGAAAGCCGATCCGGCGATCCACAGCGCGAAGTTGATGTATTTCCTCAGCGACCAGCACGGATCAGCTCTAGGCATGACAAAGCGGATATCGTCCTCTTTTGGAAGACCAAACAAAGTAGTTTCGCTTTCACAATGAAACACACAGAACACAAACACACACGCGTCTTCACGACATGGCAGCAGCAACAATACTACAGCGAGAATAAAAGTTACGCCTTCTTTCTTTGCGTGAACATTTGGGCGGCGTTATGCAAATCTTCCCACATAGTGACGTAGATATGTGGGGTGTGTTAGAACGAGCCATTTTAGGAGGGCGTGGTTGACTCTTAACTTTTATAAAGAATATCTCTTTGGATTTGAGACTTTAGTCTTTGCAACTTTACAGATCTTCTTTATGCACCAAGAGCTTGTAACACTCCAAAGAAAAAGGAAAAATTGAAATCATATGACCCCTTTAATGCAGATTTAAAAAAATTCTTAATTCCTCCAAACTTTTGTTAGTGTATATAAACACACACATTTGTAAACACTCATGTATGCACTCTCATGAAGCAATACCCACACAAATAACCAGATAAACAAACATTCAACTAAAATTACTTTTCTTCACCCCCTTGACTCCATCTCATTCTTTCGTCTTCTTTCCTTTCCTTCATCTCTACCTCTACCTCTATTTCACACTTTCCACTTCTTTACCTCCTCTCTCTCCCTTCTTTCTCTGTCTTGGTCTCCCTCCCCCTCTATCAACTCAGTCACTGTGCAGCCGCACATAATTAGCTCTAAACAGCGCACTGCTCTCCCCCACATCTGGAAAGAGTTTAGGCATGGCAGTTTCCTACCAGGACAGCTAAATATTTAGGTTCAGACTCACTGTGTATGGATGAACTCATGATAGAGGGGTGGAGAAAGAGAGCGAGAGGAAAGAGGGGGCGCGTTTGCGCAGAGAGGGGGAGAAAGTGGAACA